AACTCACCTGCCTTGGCCTCCCAAAGCGCTGGGATTATAGGGGTGAGCCACCATGCTCTGCCATGTATTCAGATAGATTTTTAAAGCAATAGTATAGGAGTGATGTACTTCCTAAGCCCTTGTATATTTAAAAATTATTCTTTCACATGAATCATGATTTAGCAGCTGGGAACAGAATTCTTGAGTAATGCTCTTTTCTTTTTTTTTTTTTTGAGACAAAGTCACTCTGTCATCAGGCTAGAGCGTAGTGGCACAATCTCCGCTCCCTGCAACCTCTGCCTGCCAGGTTCGAGTGATTTTCCTGCCTCAGCCTCCCAAGTAGCTGAGACTACAAGTGCACGCCACCACGCCCAGCTAATTTTTGTATTTTTAGTAGGGACAGGGTTTCACCTTGTTGGCCAGAATGGTCTCGATCTCTTGACCTCGTGATCTGCCTGCCTTGGCCTCCCAAAGTACTGGGATTGCAGGCATGAACCACTGTACCTGACTGGGTAATACCCTTTTCTTCTCAAAACTTTGTACAGACATACACAGACGCACACACAGTTTTTATTTTCTGAACCATTTGAGGTAAATTATATACTCTTTTTGGGGCTGGATTTGGCCCCTGAGCTGCAGTTTGTCAACCCCTGCATCAGATGCTGAAATGGAATGAAGAAATAAAGAAGAGTAAAAGGAATTTTTTAATTGGCAAATTATGAGTCATATACAAATACAAAATGAACTTATATAAAAAAATTATTTAGTTTTTTTTTTAAGACAGGGTTTCACCATGTTGGCTAGGCTGGTCTTGAACTCCTGACCTCAGGTGATCCGCCCACCTCGGCCTCCCAAAGTGCTAAGATTACAGGCATGAGCCACCGCCCCCGGCCTAGTTCTTTAAATAATGGGAGAGTCAGCAAGATGTTACCATTGGTTCAAAGGAGAATCAAAAATCACTTCTACACACATGTGCACACACACACACACACGCACAATCAGGAATGCTGAAATAAATTTACTAATTGATGCAAAATTGGTCAATATCCATGGGCAATGATCAATTGTATTCCTCTAACAAAATTCATTTGCGTTTCTAGAGACAATAATCATCTGCTTTATCCTTTTTTATGACTTTCAGAGTTATAAAACAGCTCAGAGAGGCTCAAGTCCCCACATTCATAGCCACATTAGGGAAACTGAGACCCCTGACCAGGATTTTCAACTACTAAATCAAGCATGATGACATCTTAGCATGTACTGATTTCAAAATATCCAATTCAGACCTTAATGCTCCTTTATAGGGAATGGTAAAAATTAATTTGTGTCATTTATTTATAAAATGTGTTAACATTTTAATAATATGGCACCAAAGAAACATTCCAACTCCTCTATCACAACAGTAGGTGCTGTCTTAGCCAAGAGGGCTTGAAAAATTGTATCAGTGAAAAAAATTATGGCAGTGAGGAAGATCTGACCTAGCCCACACCCCTCTTGCCTTTAGCTTTCATGCTGCCTTTAATTATTCCTGAGCTGACTTTGGAAGATGTTTAGGTTATCGTTTAAATGATAATAGCCCTTTCTCCAAAACTCAACCACCCTGTAAAGCTAATGAGAGACAACCAAGCTAGGTAGGGGGAGAAGAGGAGCTGAACTCTGCAAAGGTATAGACTGACCACAAGATATGAAACTTTCCTATTTACATCTGCAGATAACATCACAATTTTTTTTTTTTTTTTTTTTTTGAGACGGAGTTTCACTCTTGTTACCCAGGCTGGAATGCAATGGCGCGATCTCAGCTCACCGCAACCTCCGTCTCCTGGGTTCAGGCAATTCTCCTGCCTCAACCTCCTCAGTAGCTGGGATTACAGGCACGCGCCACCATGCCCAGCTAATTTTTTGTAGTTTTAGTAGAGACGGGGTTTCACCATGTTGACCAGGATGGTCTCGATCTCTTGACCTCGTGATCCACCCGCCTCAGCCTCCCAAAGTACTGGGATTACAGGCTTGAGCCACTGCGCCCGGCCCAACATCACAATTTTATATTGGCCTTTGAGATATCTTTTGAGGTTTTTTTGCATGTCTGACACTGATGGCTCCACTTGGACCCACCAAACCACTCCAGTGCCCAACCTCCCAGGAGTGACTCAGCTAAAGAAGACAGCTTTAACCCTCTATAATTTTATCTCTGACCTAACTAAATCAGTAGCAAACACCAATTTCTTAGTCACCCCCTTCCTTCCTCCAAACTGCCTTTGGAAAAATCCCTAACCTGGGATCCTTCTATGAGACTGATTTGAGTAATAACTCTGTCTCCCATATGGTGTGGCCATGTGGCATGGCTGGCCTCACGTAAATTAAACTCTTTCTTTACTGCAATGCTGTGGTCTTTATCTGTGCAGCAGGCAGGATGAACCCATTCAGTGGTTACAGATTTTGCACAGGGACAGAAACATTAAAGTGGCTTTAAAGATGCAGATTGAAATCACAGTTCCAACACATACTAGCTGTATAATCATGGGGAGATAAATTAACATCTCCCAGTCTCAGTTTCTTCATCTGTAGCATGATAATAGTAAGCCCAATGTATTACATTGAGGTAATACAAGTGACACACTTAGTATATAGCCTAGTACAAAGTAATCACTTAATACTGTTATTTTTTGTTCATTCATTTAATTTATTTATTTATTTATTTATTTATTTTTGAGACAGAGTCTTGCTTTGTTGCCCAGGCTGGAGTACAGTGGCATGATCTCTGCCAACTGCAACCTCCTCCTCCTGGATTCAAGCAATTCTTGCGCCTCAGCCTCCCAAGTAGCTGGGATTTCAGGCATCTGCCTCCATGCCCAGCAAATTTTTGTATTTATAGTAGAGACAGGTTTTTGCCATATTGGCCAGGCTGGTCTCAAACAGCTGACCTCAAGTGATCCACCCACCTCAGCCTCCCAAAGTGTTGGGATTATAGGTGTGAGCCATCACACCCAGCCCTGTTATTTTTCTTTTAGATTAGGGGCTATCACATCTAATTTGTCTAAAATTTGCCAACATATAATTTTGGACACTCTTGACAAAGCTGTGTTACCATTTTTATGCCACATTTGTGTTTTATTTTATTATTATTTTTTTTAAAAAAGGGGGTTTCACCATGTTGGACAGGCTGGTCTTGGACTCCCGACCTCAGGTGATCTGCCCGCCTTGGCCTCCAAAGTGCTTGGATTACAGGTGTGAGCCACCACACCCGGCCAACATTTGTGTTTTATTAGAGAAAGTTCTTTCTTGGTGGAAAATACAAATATATTCAATTCTCTAGAACCTGGCTGAAGTGTAGTGACATGGAATAGCCATACCGCTCCTAACGTATCCTCTGATACCACTTATCCTGGGGTGTACATTTAGGTCAATAGAAAGAAGAGGAACACCATCTAATTTTCTATAGGAATCAAAATGTTCTTTGAATTACACTCAAGTCTTTTCTAAAAGTTTCAACCGACACTATGCAAATATTACTTTCCAGCATGCATTCAATTTTATTAGAACCTAATATAAGGAAACATCTTTGTTCTATGCTATTATTTTTTAAAAACAGGCATTTTCCACACCAAAGTGAACACAGAGGAAGAATTAAATTTGAAACTAATTTCATTTCAAGTAAATTATAGACACTTACTTGCATCTTTTCTGTTCAATTTATAGCACACATTAGACATTTAAGAAATTAGAATTGTTATGCCCCTGTTACTGGAAAGGAGTCCTGATCCAGATTCCAAGAGAGGGTTATTGGATCTTGTGCAAGAAAGAATTCAAGGCAGTCCATAAAACAAGTGAAAGTAAGTTTATTAAGAAGGAAAAGGAATAAAGCAGCCCTGAGGGTTGCGGGTTACCCATTTTCATGGTTATTTCTTGATTATATGCTAAACAAGGGGTGGACTATTTATACTTCCCCTTTTTGGACCATGTCGGGTAACTTCCCAATGTTGCCCATGGCATTTGTAAACTGTCATGGTGCTGTTGGGAGTGTGGCAGTGAAGACCACCAGAGGTCACTGTCATCGCCTTCTTGGTTTTGGTGGGTTTTAGCCATCTTTATGCAACCTGTTTTATCAGCAAGGTCTTTATGAACTGTATCTTTTTCCTTTTTTCTTTCTTTCTTTATTTTTTTGAGACGGAGTTTTGCTCTTGTTGTCCAGGCTGGAGTGAAATGGCACGATCTCGGCTCACTGCAACCTCCGCCTCCTGGGTTCAAGTGATTCTCCTACCCCAACCTCCTGAGTAGCTAGGATTACAGGCATGCCCCACCATGCCCGGCTAATTTTGTATTAGGGTTTTTCCATGTTGGTCAGGCTGGTCTCGAACTCCCGACCTCAGGTGATCCACCCGCTTTGGCCTCCCAAAGTGCTGGGATTACGGACATGAGCCACAGCACCTAGCATGACCTATATCTTATGCTGACCTCCTATTTCATTCTATGACTAAGAATACTTTAACGAGCGCAGCCTAGTAGGTCTCAGCCTTAATTTACTACGCTCCTATTCAAGATGGAGTTTGTTCTGGTTCAAACACCTCTGACCCCTGCACTTCTAAATTGAAAAAAAAAAAAAAAAAAAAAAGTATCACTGAAGTGACTTCTTTTTAGAACCATGGAGGTTTTTTTTTTCTGAAATGTAACATTTTCTATATGAAGAACTGACATTTTAATTTCGTGCCATACTCACTCATCACGCTGCTCGAATCATCATTCCAATTCCTCAACTCAGTGGCTTGTTGTTGTTGTGGGTTTTTTTCTATTTATGGTAGATGAAAACTAACATTGATGTTATAAAAATAGCATTAAGATGCACATTCAAAGTCCGTAAGAAAAACTTTCTGGGTTGAGGACATTTCTGGCTGGGTTTTCAGACAACAAAAGTCCGTTGATTTTTGAAATATCTTTTGTTTGACATTGGATTGTCCCCTTTTGCCTGCTTGATCAGAACGGGTGAATTTAATTTCCTCTTTTCTTTGTTCTATTATCAACTGCAGGCATCTCTTTGAGAGGACCCAGTAGGAGAGAACTGCCCTTGAAATGCTAAAATGGGGAAAACAGCTTGAGAATGTTATGAGGCAAGACAGACTGACGTGAAAGATATTTTGATCTCCATGCACTTGGTGCCAACTCAAGGCCAAGTTAGGAAAACAGTCCACGATGTACTGTAAAGTAATACTGAATGGAACAGGTGAGTTAAGAATGGAGTAAGAATGGAAAAGTGAGTCAGACATAAAGTCACAACACCCTGAGTTTGTCCTCAAGATAATTATCGGTGGCATTAATTGGCAAATTTCTGTTGCTGTTTAATTGTAAACTAATTAATGCTACAAATATTTGCATTTTGTAGAGAGTACATTACAATGTTCTCAGTATAAAACTAGATGGGAAAGTGGAATTTAGTTTTAAACTCCAACATATCTCTTAAATCACTTACTTCTATTTCAAGCAGGAGAGAAAATTATTGTGCATGAAACCTATAATAATTTAGAGTGTTTATCAGGAAAAGGAGAGTGTTCTGCAAGTAAGGGCTTTATTTAAATTTACTAAGGGAGAGTGTATTTACACTTCTATGGCAATTTTTCGATATGACTACTTTCTAACAAATATGAAATCTTTCTTTTCCAAATAGGTGAGTGGTTTAAATCAGAGAACCTGTATCATGGTCTTTGATTGTTGATCCTGTTTTTACATGGCCTTCAAACCATCTCAGGTTCTTAATTCTTAGCTTTTCCTTTCCATAACTATAAAAATGGAAATGATAAAATGCTGAAAGTTTTAAATGTTTGTATGTGTTTGTTTGCTTTGTTTTGGGATTCCCAATTAGACATTTTTATTTCTATGAAATATTACTACACTGGGAACTTGAAAATACATGGGCAGATTCAGGGGACAATGCCATAAAAATGAAGACAATTGATGAAACAAAACTTTAAAAGTATGAACTTTTACATACTTTAAAGATATATATTTTAGAATGAAGTTAAAAAAATTTTTTTTGAATGTTGTTGAGGGTACAGGGCAATAGAGCTTCTTATATACTGCCAGAGTAGTGTGTGTTGGTAACCTCTTTCTCAAAAGTAATTTATCAACATGAGTCAAGAACTTTAAAAATGTTTTTAAGCCAGGCACGGTGGCTCACACCTGAATTCTAGCACTTCAGGAGGCTGAGGCAGCTGGATCACTTGAGACCAGGAGTTTGAGACCAACCTGGCTAACATGGTGAAACCCCATCTCTAATGAAAGTACAATAACTACCCTGTCGTGGTGGTACATGCCTGTTATCCCAGCTACTCTGGAGACTGAGGCACCAGAATCGCTTGAACCCTGGAGGCGGAGGTTGCAGTGAGCCAAGATCGTGTTACTGTACTCCAGCCTGAATAACAGGGGAGACTCTTTCCAAAGAAAAAAAAAAAAAAAAGCTGTTTTCTTAGTTTGCATAGGCTGCCGTAATAAAATTAAAATACCATAGATTCGGTGGCTTAAACAACAGAAATTTATTTCCCACAGTTCTGGAGGCTGGAGTCCAAGACAAGGTGCTGCTGATTTGATTTCTGGTGAGGGCTCTCTCTGGCTTATAGAGGGCTGCCTTCTTGCTATGTCCTTACAGAGCAGGGCTGCAGGGAGAGAGAGAAATATCTTTCTTTTCTTATAAGACTTATAAGACTATAGTAATCTTTTCTATTGGTTAGGGTCCTACCCTTGTGACTTTATTTCCTAATGACCCTCTCTCCAGGTATAGTCACATTGGAGATTAGGCCTAACTAACATATGAATTTGGGTGGGAAACATAACTCAGTAATATTCATACCGTTAGATCAAGTAATTCAACTTCTAGCAATCTATCCTGTGTACATAGTGTAAAGTAGGGGTGGGGAGGGGGGACAGGGAACTGAAATGTAGCCCTGGATGGGAGCTTATTTAAATTCATCACATTCTTTATTTACAATTTATAATAGAAAAACAACACAATGTTCAAAAGGTATTTTGTTTGACCACAGCACACAAATGTATGTTTGTACCCTAACACACTCAAAAAAAAGTTGAGTGTGTTGTGGTACAACATAGACAGAAAATTAGACAGTCAAAACTTTTAATTTTTTTTAATCACAAGAAAATAATTATGTTCTATTTTAAAGTGTAGAATAATGGCCAGGGGCAGTGGCTCATGCCTGTAATCTCAGCACTTTGGGAGGCCAAGACAGACGATCACCTGAGGTTGGGAGTTCGAGACCATCCTGGCCAACATGGGGAAACCCCGTCTCTACTAAAAATACAAAAATTAGCCAGGCATGGTGGCACACATCTGTAATCCCAGCTACTCAAGAGGCTGAGGCACAAGAATGGCTTGAACCCAGGAGGCGGAGATTGCAGTGAGCTGAGATTGAGTCACTGAACTCTAGCCTGGGTGACAAAAGTGAGACTCTGTCTCAAAAAAAGAGAAGAAAAAAGTTATTATGGGCCGGACACAGTGGCTCATGCCTGTAATCCTAGCACTTTGGGAGGCTGAGGCAGGTGGATCACCTGAGGTCGGGAGTTTGAGACCACCAGCCTGACCAACATGGAGAAACCACATCTCTACTAAAAATACAAAAATTAGCCAGGCATGGTGGCACATGCCTGTAATCCCAGCTACTTGGGAAGCTGAGGCAGGAGAATCACTTGAACCTGGGAGGCAGAGGTTGCAGTCAGCCGAGATAGCACCATTGCACTCCAGCCTGGGCAACAAGAGTGAAACTCTATCTCAAAAAAAAAAAAAGTTATTTATGCACTGTGATATCCACAATGTAAAACGTAAAATATATCTATAGATGCACAGAGAAAAGCCTTAGGAAATATATAACAAAATATTAACGTGATTATGTCTAGGTAGCAGGATTATACATTTTTTTTTAACATTTTTTGCAATAAGCCTATAGTGTATTGATAACATGAAAATATTTTTTAGAGGTGAACAAATATGTGAATGTGGGATAAAGTCAAGATAGGAGAGCTATATGTGTATGATTATCTGGGAAAGCCACCAAGTATCTTAATGATAAGATGAAATAAAGAATTTTCTAATAAAATCTCAGGTAAATGTATTTAGGCTTTATTTGTTTGTTTGTTTATAGTAGCAACAGGAATACAAAGACTTGAATAAAAAGCTAGAAGTTGCCAGATTATTTTTTGGCCTTCTGACTTATTAGAAAATACGAGGCTGGGCGCTGTGTCTCACACCTGTAATTCCAGCACTGTGGGAGGCTGAGGCAGATGGATCACAAAGTCAGGAGTTCAAGACCAGCCCAGCCAATATGGTGAAACCCCGTTTTAAAAAAGAAAATACATTTGAGGCCGGGCGTGGTGGCTCACACCTGTAATCCCAGCAGTTTGGGAGGCCAAGGCAGGTGGATCACTTGCGGTCAGAAGTTTGAGACCAGCCTGGCCAACACGGTGAAACCCTGCCTCTACTAAAAATACGAAATTTAGCCAGGTATGGTGGCGCATGCCTGTAGCCCCAGCTACTTAGGAGGCTGAGGCATGAGAATCACTTGAACCCAGGAGGCGGAAGCTGCAGCAAGGCAAGATCACACCACTGCACTCCAGCCTGGGTGACAGAGTGAGACTCTACCTCAAAAAAAAAAAAAAAAAAAATACATTTGATAGGATAAACATTGAAATAAACAAATACATTTTTACAAACTAGATACCTGTTAACTTTCTGCTCAAAATTAATGACAAGCCAATAAAATTCTCCATTGGAAAACAAACAAAAAGCAAACATAAAAGGGCTAACCAAACTCATTTTAAAAAAATACATGCAACTTTAGATGATAATGCATAAGATCCAAGCCAGTTTAATTCAAATTGCATAACAGTTTCAATAAACATGATGTTTTAGGTAAATAAAATAAAATACATATTAATTGCCATTAGATGTCATTACGAGCTTACACCATTATATATTAAGTTCATATAACAAGTGTAAAACTTTTAGAGAAATCCTTCCTTTGACTTTCATTTTGGATCTGTAAATAACAAGACTGCTATATAATTGTTTTGAATAAATATATGCCCATACCTAATGGTAAATTCACAACTTTCCCTGCTGACTTTTTTTCTAAAATTTTTGGCATAATAGGTTATTATTTTATATCATGGTACAATAAGATAATTTCTAAATATGATCTGAGATTAATTTTCCAACCTTTACATAGAAATTACATTGTATACTTGGTCATGCCATTCTCCACTGTGGTAGGTGAACTATGCTGTAAAACTAAAAGAATCTAGTTTAGTAAAAACTGGGCAGGCTTCCTTTTTTTTTTACAGTCATTGCTGACTGTGTAAAAGCATGTCTTAAGCCCAGAGCACAGACTACTCAATGGTTCATTCAAGAATAAGAACTCAGCAGCCACACTGGAGCAATATTTTGATGTAGCCTAGAAAAGCACTGCCCTCTGTAGGTAGTTATAGGAGGGTTTGTTAGGATGTGTTGGAGCCAAATACTATGAACTCCCCAAACTGATAGCTAGCTGTGTGTTTTGCCTAGTGTATTTGGTTGGAAGAGACCAGTCATCTGGCCACATTTGCTTGTTAGCATCTGCAGTGAAATGAGTGCCACTAAGGCCCACGTTCGACCTGTGGTTGCAAGTGAAAAGAACCAATGCTTTTGGGTGAACCATCTTTATGTTCTCCAGGATGCTGGTGATGGCCCCTGGCTTGATAGAAAATTCATGATCCCCAGATAATTCAGAACGTTTAAGTCATGACCAGGCGCGGTGGCTCATGCCTGTAATCCCAAAACTTTGGGAAGTCGAGGCGGGTGGATCCCCTGAGTTTGGGAGTTTGAGACCAGCCTGACCAACATAGAGAAACCCCATCTCTACTGAAAATACAAAATTAGCTGGGTGTGGTGACACATGCCTGTAGTCCCAGCTACTTGGGAGGCTGAGGCAGGAGAATCGCTTGAACCTGGGAGGCGGAGGTTGCAGTGAGTGAGATCCTGCCATTGCACTCTAGTCTGAGCAACAAGAGCAAAATTCTGTTTCAAAAAACGAAAAAACAAACATCTAAGCTACATAAAACTACCAACCACATTGCTTGCAGGTATCATAAATAACCAGGCAGACCATCCTACCTGTGCCTAGGTGATCTGCAAAAAATGTAGCCTTCACAGCAGTGTTCACAGAGAGCCAGCCCACATTCATAGATTCATAGAAGCCTAAGTCCTGGCAAATGTGACTGCTCTATTTATGAGTGAAATACCTCTGTTTAGAATATAATAGCTTCAAATTGTGGTATACCATTCCTTCTGTACTGTCCATACTGTTTATAAATAAGGGAACTTAAGGTTTGCCAGAGGTATTTTGATTCAATTCAATTCAGTTTATTCATTTATTTAACCAATATTTATTAAGGCCTACTATGTGCAAAGCACTGTATTAGGTGCTAAAGACTGAACAAAACACACACAAAGAACACACACACAGAGTTTCAGTGCAGGAGGAAAAAAATAAACAAGATAAAAAGAAAAGCATATGAAATATTACCCCATGTGAAGGAGAAAAAGAATTAAGTTGGGAAGAGAGATGCTGTGGTTTCAATGACCCCCAAATTCATGTGTTGAAACTTAATCCCCATTGTGGTGGTAGTGAGAAGTAGGGCCTTTTGGGAAGTGATTAACTTATGAATGGATTAGCACCTTAGAAAAGGGCTGGAGGGAACTAGCTGAGACCCTTTTGCTCTTCCTCTCTTCACCAGGTGAGGGCACCGCAGTCATCTCCTGTTGTCCTTTCCCCTCTGTCACGTGAGGATGTTGTTGCAAAAAGATGCCTTTGTTGGCACAGGCCCTCAGAGAAGCTGCCAGTTCTTTGATCTTGGACTTGCTCGCCTCCAGAACTGTGAGAAAAAAAAACTCTATTATGTGTAA